CGCACCTTCATCAGAAAAAAATTTTTCGTCGCCCCCCCCCCCGAACGGAAATCCTGGGTACGCCACTGAAGGAATCGCATGGCTTTGATGGAAGGGGAGGTCAGTGAATGTGTTTCAAGAATCCCAACCAAAAGGATACCACCCTCTTAATATACTATTTCACTTTCAAAATGAACTAGAATGGTAGACAGTTTCTGAGTTCAACTCATCAATTTGATGAACCATCACTGCTGAACAGCAAAAAATTGCAAGAGCGAGCAACCGTGATCTAATCCTAGTTCCGACAAAAGGACTCATAGACAGATAGCTGTTGATATCTGTCATAGGGGATTTTGCAGTAAAAGTGAGAAAATAAAAGCGTGTTGTTTCGCCTACATAACATTGCAGACAACAATAATTGGTATAATTGACAATCAACATAGACCACAAGTTTTCAAATTTTCACGCCACGCCCTTTTTCACACAACTGCCTAGTTCACAGTCAAATTTGCTAGACTGCATCTATCGAGGAAAGGACTAGTAACAATGACATCTCTATACTGATTCAGAACAAAAAATCAAAGGTGACTGATTAGTGAAGTAGACCAAAAAAGCGGAAAAGGAAAAGTAGACTTTTCTAGACTCAGAAAACCTATCAGCATTCGAAAAAGGATGAAAAACTAGTAACGAGGCAACTCACACCGGTTTGAATGAGTCATAAAACTGCAGACTTTTTAACGCTGCAAAAGTGCTCTGATTTGCACGTGAACGAGAGCTGTGTTAACAAAACTATCTGGCGCGCATTGTGATAGCAAGAAGCTACATACTCTCAAAGGAAAACTCTCAAGCAAAATAAGTTCAGAATCAGTTTAGACACTTCGATGCGCTGTCTCATCCACCCCATATTCTTCGCTAAGAAACCTGCGTAAGCGCTATAAAAAGCAGGTGTTTGTTTCTATTCTTTTCTCTGCCATGATACCAGCAAACTTTATGTACATGTAGCCAAAAAGACTTGCTTCTCGCAAGCTCGTTCTCTGCAAGGATCGGCAACAGCATTATCCATCATTCACATTCACAGCACACATATGTCAACGAAATTGTCACTCGCTTAATGGGATTGATAGCATGACCAGTGCCAAAGAGGGACTCAGCAGAAAGAATGGCTGGTTCACTGAGTTACGTTAGAGCGGAAAAACCTGAGCGCTATGCTCTTTTAAACTCTGAAAAAACCACTTAAAGGGTCTTTTCGCTTCCGTCCTTTCCAAAACCATGATGTAGCAGAAACATTATTGTGTGTTGTATTCAGTTCCAGACAAATCGAAGCAACTCCAAAGCTCTAAACTCTCGACGATGGAAGTTCTAAAATCAACGTGGTGTTTTGGTCATGCACAATTATTTACAGTTCATAGAAGATTATGAGAAAATTGACTTAGTTTTGAATTAATTCTTGCTTAGCCACATGAGTAATTCCTACGACTGCTTTGCTAAACTTACAATAGAAAAATTGCAGTATAATAATAACAATAAAAACCAAACCGAAGTAGATGGTGACGTCAAGTTACTAAGAATGAGTAGACAAAATCACCTAGAAACGTTTAAGTTCCTTATTTCACATTACCCTGATATTAAGCTTGATTGAAAGGTTTCGTGTTTATGTCCAAAGAAAGTGATGCATTATGCACATTTTCAATGGCAGCCTCCTAAAGCATTAACTAAGGGAACGAAAAAATAGCACTCTCTATGCAACTGAACGTCTGTTTAGAATATATAAGAAGCATGAGTGAAGAACACGTAGAAATTCGGGACTGCTTGAAAACAAATAAATGAAGGCTCTCTGAAATTTTTCCTATATATGTCTCGAGCTTCTTTTTTAAATTACTTTACTGAGCAATGTTCTGAATTACTCTAGAATTGGTTATATTTGGACAGAATTTCCCTTTCAATCAAAAAGTGCATGATAGCAGAATACGTCATCGCTTGGCGCGTTTTCATCGCTACTTTTCATGTACGCTCCAAAAACACTGAAGACATGAAGTCATCTTCTGAGCATATGAATTCGACCTGTTCAGCAACAAGATTCGTCATGAGTTTTGTATCGATACGAATGCTTTCATACGCCCAAATAGGAACTTGTCGAAAAATAATGAGAAACGCACTCAAATGCGTTAAGTGTTAATCAGTGCAGGTTTCGATGAGAAAAAGGCCCTTAAACAGGATGAGTCACTTATCAACACAGTGTCACAAGTATTGGACTAAGTGTTTTTGTAGGTTACGGACGTCATGATTTGATATGTGGAAGAAATGTTGAAAATGATAGGAGGGAACACTCACGAAACAAGAGAAACAACTTTTTCCAAAGTGGAAGAAAAAAGAACTGACGTTGCGCTCAAAACTTCGTTACTCTTTGCACACTCTTCTGGAATGACACTCGCAAAACATCAATTTTACATGTTTTGCAAGTATGTATATTGAAACTATGATAAAATAACAAGCAAAGAAAAATTCAATTAATGCTCTTCTCAAACCTTGCCTGTTAAAGTACCCTATGTGCATGTTTCCCCATCTAGCCGCTTTTTCTGACGCGCTGAACTATTTGTGCAAGCGTTGCTGCTGTGTCTGTTCGCGTCAAGCACCAGGTGTGAAGAATGGTGTAGCAGTGTGCGTGTATGAAGGCTGTCTGCAAGGCAGAAAAAATGCGCAAGACTGTATCGCTTATCCCCCTCTTTGGGAAACAGCTAATACTTTAAGATGAAACAACAACCACATGAGACAATCAAAGCCCTTGACATCAACGTGGCTTCTCAAAACATCAGCTATTACTTTATTTTCTATGCAAGAGAAAGGTGGAAAGCTTATTTGTGACGTTGAAAAGGTAGCTAAGCTATACTTGCTCAAGCCCTCATTTTGTTAACCTAACCAAAGATTATATTATGAATTAGATGTATCATTCATTCTATGACTAGGAGACGCGAGTACGCATTGCACACATTGTATAAACAAGCCTAATCGTGTAGTCAGCGGGTTGATACCTGCTATTTATCTCGTTCAGGTTTATTCACTATTCAAAACAGGGAAAAACAACCTCAAACGTCAAGACAATGTCCGCAATGCGGTCTCGCGTCTCCTAGTCAAAGAATAGATGATACTGATTTTTGCACTTCGTGCAGGCAGCGCGCTACTTATTGCCTCTAAGAATTTAACGACAAAAAGAGGCGGAAGAGCGGAGGGAAGATAACATGGCGGCTTCATGGCCAAAAAATAGATGCACATACTGGGACCCACAATTTTACAGGGGTAAAAAAGAAGGCAAAGCACAAACCTTGCATTTCAGCTCTTTTAATTCGTTTGTAGCAAAAAAGATAGCGAGGTTTTCATGAGGTAGCCCTTCACAAATTATCTTTGTTGTCAGATTCAAATTCACATGCTGCGTCGCAGCAGTCAGAAGTATGTGTGCGATAGCCAGGTGATACGATACCAAAAATGAAATGCAGATCTTAGACAGACCTAGTACGAGGATAATATAGTGTAAACGCACCGGGCACGTAAAATCTTTTCCTCTCTGCTAATACTTGACTCACGAATCCTCCTTATTCTGAAGCAGCGTTAACTCTCAATAACCTTTCCGCTTTTTACTAACTGTTAATGAAGCATCCCGATAACGGCAAACATTTCGCCCCTAATGCGAACGCGGTTCCAAAGATCAACATTGATGATGTCGCATGCATCACGAAGCAAAATAAAAAAAAAAGAAGATTTGTTGCGCGAATACCCACTTCTTTCGCGCATAAATCAGAGCTGTTCTGGGTTTTAGCGATGTTGAGAGAATACATTCATTCACATGTTACATCAGAAAAAGACTCGTAACTTTCACACTACAGGCTTCCTATGTATGTTTGATGCAATGATGGTTGTAGTGGCACTACAAAGCACTTGCTGTTTGAAATGCGTCCTAGCATGCAGGACTTAGTTCTTGCCAGGAAAACCCCATTAAATTGAGGAAGTACCGACGGTTTCCAGATAACACATTTGCATGTGGAAGCAATGCCTCTTAGTTATTAGAACATCCTTAATGGCGCACTAGACATCACAAAAGCGCAGGTCTTGGGCATGATCAAAAAGTAAAGCCTTAACATTTTCTGCAATCAAACAATACTGCTTTTATCTTAATGTGCAATCTGCAATTACAAATGGCAAAAAACCTCCATACATGAAAAATAAGGGCTATTAACCACTTATCTACGTTTTTGCTCCAAGAATATAACATTTTGATCACACACGAGGCACACATAAAATACTCCCTGAAACGACATCCCAACTAGTTTTTATTGCGTTCGCTATGCAAAGCAGTCCGCTAAATCGATTTCGCGTAACTGTCCAGAAATTATTAATATTATTACGCAAATACGTATGCGAGAACGCACAAAAAAAACCGCAAAGTTCAGGTCGGCCTCCGATAAACTATAACAAAACCTATGTTTTGCACTTTCGCAACACAAGCGGAAGTTCAGTACTCGTTCAAAAATTTCAAACAAAAGATTGTCACTTGATATTAAGGATGGAAAAAATCGCTGGTAGGGGTAAGGACTGATGGCAAATCTATGCATCGCAATTGCAGCAAGATATCCTTACCCAAATCGCCTTTCAACAACTATTTTTTCAAAAAGTGTAGTATGAGGGAAAATAAAACTTCAAGACGCTGAATCGATTTCCAACTTCTCTGATGCAAAAGTCTCAGATCTGATCATTCCAGCCAAAATAGTACTCCAGCAAACTAGAATGTTGCGAACTTCATCTAACTTTGAAACTCAAAAAGCCAATTTTTCTCTTATTAGAAAGCAAATAACAAACTCCGGTCTGTGCTACGCGCTACTGTCGAAAGAAATCAATGAAGAGTGCATATGACCAAAAATGAAGTTCAATATTGTACCACGACGGTGATTCACCTGGAGCAAACAAAAAAAAATGGTAAGCAAAGCAGAGCGAAAACAATGGAATAACTATGTAAGCATGAAAACACATACCTGAGCAACGTAATTCGTTGGCGGTGACGGATCTTTTTGCATCGTATCACCAAAATAACTCCAGCACTATACAAGCGATGTGGAGAGAGAATCGAATCGATCAATAGTTAGATCGCAGATGTGTGTAGAATAATTGCGATAGCCACTGCGATATGTTAGCTAATATGTTCGATAGTATACCATTCCCAAACAGAGAGCTTATGGTCTGAAAACAATCGATTAAATCGATGAAGTTGTCACATTATGCGATATTACGACGCGATGCGTAGATTTCAAATTCAGCAGAAGTGAGGGGTAATTCTTTCAAGAATAAATAGATCAACAAAACATAAAACGAATCAATAATTATATTGGGATTAGACGGTGAACAAAATCACTGGCGGCTGTCCAACTAGTCAAGGTCGACGGCCCCGAAGGGGCGGGCGAGAGCGGCTGGCGATCTTGAACGCTTGATAGTGTGTGAATAGAGCGCGAAGTTTGCAACTTTTCCAAATGAGTTGAAAAGGACACAATGTAAACGGGAAGGGAACATAAGTAAAAATTTAGACATAATACATCGTTTTCTACATGCAAACATAAATGCTGATCAAACCGTACAAATTACAAATGTCCATAACATGTCGTTTACTCAGGCAGCTTAGTCACAACAGACTAAAATTGTTGAGACCGTTTTATTATCATTACGACATTGAAGGACCTGTTCAAACAATACAGCACCCTTTTTGCATTTTCAAACAAAACAGGCAGCGACATGCGACCAGTCGTGCATATAGCGCAATTGCACGCTGTAAACGAACCTTGAACTACAGAAAACACACCCCAAATGCTTATCGACAGTCCTCAAGCCACATCTGCATTTGCACTAGTTTGCAGAAATTTGGCGAGCATTCCGGAAAAGTTTTTATTGTGTTCGTGAGCATTTCTTGATTTAACTGGATTGTGTTTTGGAATGTTTGTGACGTTTCAAGTTGAACGTCGAGAAAATGAGTTATGATAGGACTACGAAGTAGGAAAAGGGCAAAGGTCGCGATCTCTCCGATGTCTACAAAACCGATATAGTGCTACAAGAGTCCTCAAAAAGAAAAAAAAGCAGACAAAGCTCCTTGGTTACAGCTGTTGTAAAGTATTACCTACTAAGTCTGTCGTTTGCTGTAAAACTAAGATAGTACCACGGAGTTGCTACTAATGGCATTTTCGTAGCTTTTTGGTCGTAAATAATAAAGTTATAGACAAGAGAAGACGCTGCACGTTTGCAGCTATCTGCTACATCTTAATTATTTACAATACTTTCGAATTGAAAACCAAATTCTATAGTACTTGTCAAGTTGGCAATAACCTTAGCCCAAAAACGCAGCACCTGAGAGTTTTCAAATCCCATGCTGTATGACTCGAGTATGGCAATACAGGATGGAACTTTTTTCGCGATGCATCCAATTGATTCAATCGGCACACACAACATTATGAATTGCTGAATCAACACAAAATTGCAACAAATACCCGATATAGAGCAAGACTTTCTTTGCTAAGAAGTGTGCACAAGAACTTGAATCATGAGTCAAAGGGCAAGTGAATATGTTATTTATATCAGTGTTAGATATAGTAATACTCACACTCAAAACTCATAAAACACACACTAAAAAAACACGGGTGATCTGACTTAAACGGGCAATATGACATCGGGGTATCACGGCTATGTGGAAAGATGCAAAAATGTGGAAGCCTAAGATCTGTGTGTTGGCGGCAAGAGCTACGCTAAAGTAGCTTGTTACATAACCTGCAGAGAACTTGAAGGAGCCAACTGGAGCTACAGTCATATGATTTCTTCATGCCCGAAGTATTCAAATCCGCCCTGTGTCGTATTATTTTCCAGTTGACCAACGGCTTCCTGGAGCGACTACTGGGTGCGCTTACAAGTAAACTTTGAAGTCAGAATTGAATTCTATGAGGCGAGGAGTGAGCAAGTGAGCAATGGTCAAAGGCTCCCAGTCTCGAAGGTCTGGGTCCCAAAATGACTGCATATCGTTTTTGAATAAAGCATTGAAAAAGAATAAAGCTGCATGCCAAAAATTCGCAGCACGCATTCATCGCAAATTCTTTGAAAAAGATTAGAGATATATAATTGCCATTATGAACAAAATTTATATTGATGAAGTCAGCGAAGTCTCAATTCCCCCTTCTCCTCCGCTGCAACGCTTTCACATGAACTGGAAAAGCAACTCGCTCGCTCTCTTTCCCTTCTCTCTCTGCTGCAAAAAGCAAAAGCAGTGCTATTGAAGAAGATAATGGCATCAAAATCCACGCGACCCTTTCCACTTAAACCCGTTCATTTCAATAGTGGAATTTCGAGACAGAATGAATTTGTAGAGAGTATTTCAAGCAGAAACAGAAGAAGAGTTCAGATTTTTGTTGAACCAAAATTTTCTGGAGTGACCCATCGACTTTCACAGAAATGATTATTTACCAATGATTTATTTATTTTCGCACAGGATTACTCAAACAATTATCAAAAGCCTAGATTCAGAACTACGTGGACCAAAGAGTACTGACTGAGTTTCAGCAAGAGCCTGAATCTGCTTTTGCGTCCTCATCATAAATTATAAGGGTGTATGTGCAAAACTTCAGCACTAAAACTGTTTAGCAGAAAATGGGTCCTGCTTATCAAAAAGCAAGAACAGACAGGTATCGAAACACTGCTGTGGTCAAGAGGTATTGCTTGAAACCTAACACTACCATTTACTCAAAAGTTTTATCCAAGCTGTGCAATCACACATGTAGCGATACGCCTATGAAATCTCCACTTTTTGTTATGAACAAAAGAAATCGCGCTCTCAAGCGCTGTTACAAAGCAATGGGTTTACACTCTCTTCGATAAGTGGGACGCGGGAAAAAAGAAAAGCTAATGCTCATGTTTGGAGAGTTCGAAATCTCGATGAAGGGTTCGTGGTTTTACTAGTCGCTCAACTACTCGATGTGAACAATAAGATTTGCACGATGTGGAAAAAACCTCTTCTAATAAGCACTTATCGAATAATGTAGAGTAGGTCAAATTACAAAAAGAAAACTTCTCGGCGAACTCCAGAATTTATTCCGCCTTTGCCCAGCACGGATGAAAGATCAAAACTGCAGACTTTAATGCTTTTCTGTTTGAATACATAACATAAAAACGACTAATCGTTATTTGACATTAGCACGAAACCAGTTTCCCAAAACTGCGTTGGTCATACAGCAATTTCTGGGTTCCAAAGAGTCAGAAAATAAAGATGATCACCTTCTTTTTAGAGACAGTATTCAAAAAATCTGGTAATTCGAATTTTCATGTTAGAACTGACCAAGCTCGGTTCACTGAAACCGCAGCTCATTTGGGACATTTGCAGGCAGAATTCAACTCTTCCCTCATCTAGACCATAGCCCCGATGGTATCCGAAGACGCCCACTGATCGGGAAAGTACGATCTGGACGAAAGTTTGAAGGTGCACTTCTCGGCCAGGAACGAATCATACTGCCGCTAAGCAATGTCATTCATTAACATCCAAGGAAGTCTTGCGATTCAGCATTTGCTAAACAATGGCTTTCATGTCACTAATTTATCGACTGTAAAAAAACATCTATTTTATTCGCGGTTGCCTAGCATCTCCAAGCCTAGAATAGTTTCTTCATAATGTGCTTCAAAATATCCGCTTACCTTATTTGAAGGTTTAGGGTCAAACGGGACTTCGTAAAATTTTTTTTGAAAGAATGGAAAATCGGAATGCTCGAAATGGATCTGATACTGCAAGTTTTAATTTACATGAGCAATCAAGCATACTACCACACCGGCTATGTGCGTAATTGCACTTATGCACCATTAATAACCTTCAACGTAAAAGATTGTATCTAGCACTAAAAATATTTTTTCCGCATCTTGTTAGCTACTTCTCAGTGAGCATTTGACTCATTTCAGATACGAAAGTACATGTCACCATTGTATAAGTACAATACTTTGTTGGTCTTGCTTCTTTGCACTGACTCCCTCTTCTTACGTCCCACTTATGATCTAATAGGGCTCGGCACAGGTGGCTTATAAGCAAGCGGATATAGTATTCGGGAAAAAAGCAAAGGGGATATTGTGGGTGAAAGAACACATAGGTTAAGTTTTTTAGTCGACGTTCGTTTTTTGAGGGTTTTTTGAACGTTTACCATACATTTAAGGTTTAGGGTCAAAGGGGACTTCGTAAAAATCTAGAGGAGTCAAGAGGACTTCGTTTTTGCATATTCGGAAAGCCACCTCGTGCCAAGCCCCGGATCTTATTCCTATCACAGAACGAAAGAGGGGGAAAACGCGAAATACACTAGCATACAAAAAGACGAGAGCGTTCTTTGATCGAGTTGATGGACAACAGTCTGCGTCACTGATGAATGCACCAATGCTATAGCGAGCAAAAAAAGAATATGTTCGAGTTTTTTTATGAGCCTTCTAGAAATTCAGAAAATTAACTCAGACCAAAGTGCAAAGCGAGAAAATAACACCGCAACACAGGAAGAGGAAAACCTCGCCGCAAAGTTCTGCCTATTTGGCAAATGAAAGCAGAATTTGAGAAACAGATGCTCAAGGTTTTTCATTAGATCATGATTTATAGTCTGTATTTTTGTTCATTGGCCTGCAAATGCATTTGTTGCAATGGAGAGCAAACCAATGAAAAGGCACATATGAAGAAGGACGGAAATAAAGTATAGCCCGTGTTGACATAAGGACGGAACATCTGAAAGTAGCCTACTTGAGCTATATTGCGCGAATGACTTGTTTTCGATTGTAAACGATTAAAATGAATTTTGAAAATTGCAAAAATTCAATTTAACCAGGAAACAAATTATGAAAGCATCTAGAAATTTATTTCGGAAGGCGTGGCTAGCGTCACGCCCTTTTATTCAAAAATGTTTGTATCGCCCCCCCCCCCTTCCCCTTGAAAAAGAAAACTTCAACCGCCATTGACTTGTGGCCATTTTCACATCCAAGCTTTTCAAAAAGGTAAAATTCTCACGATTTGTTCCTAAAGACATCCATTTTCAAGATACATCTGCCTAGCAAAACTTGGATTTCTACAAAAACCTTTGAAAAAAATTAGCCAATCGAAAAAGCCTTCTCAGTAGCTTGTGCGAAGGGACAAAGTCTCTTCAAGTCATGCTATCTTCTGCACTTCCATAAAGAAAATTGATTGCAATGTCAATCTTTCAC